AGGTTTAGATTGAACATTAGGAAAGAATTTTTCACCGAAAGAGTGATAGGGCATTGGAACAGGCTGCCCAGGGAGGTGGTGGAGTCACCATCCCTGGCTGTGTTTAAGGGACGTTTAGATGCGGTACTGAGGGATATGGTGTAGGGGAGGACTTTGTAGAGTAGGGGAGATGGTTGGACTCGATGATCCCAAGGGTCTTGTCCAACCTGAATGATTCTATGATTCTATGATTCTATGACTATAATTGCTCACATCTTTCAGAATTGGGCACGTGCAGTAGGAAGGACTCATCCATACCTGTAGAAGAGGCAGGGCTGTCGCCCGAAGGTCACGATGACGTTGCTGCCCGCGTTGAGGTTGTTGCCCGTAATTGTCACCTGCGTGCCACCCGACACTGGTCCCCGCTTTGGCTTGAGATCAGAGAGCGTCAGGGTCTGTGAAGACAAAGGGTCATGTTGAAAACACAACAGAGGGGCAGAGGTAGCTTCCCTCCCTCTTATTTAGTGCTGTAGAGAGGTAGGCACCCCCCAGGGGTGGACTTCAGAAGATGACCATATCTTTCAGCCAATAGAGGAGCCTAGGATGACACCAGTCCTAGCATAGACACCCTGCTTGAATGCCAAGTTTGGTGGGATGAATTCAGGCCTAACCCCAGTCTGGTCTCCTTACCCCTACAAAATTTGAGAAATACTCTGCGCTTATAAAGTGAAGTCCACATCTGGAGCAGCTGGAGCCATGATCTCCCACCCCCACTGCTGGTTTAACATGACCCAAGTGTCTATTTTGCCATCACGCAACACCACCTCCGCAACATAACGCAGGTCTTGAACTGGCTCCAAACTGTGGAGCTCACAAGTGATGAAAACGATCTGGTCTCCAAAAGATTACTCTAAACCCCATTGATCTGACGAGGGAACAGGACCTGCTGTGTAGCTTCAGAGAGATACCTAACCCACCCCCTCACCCCCTTCCCCTTCTTCCCTGGGAAGGAGGAGAGCTGTGGTTCAGCAGACCATGTGAGATTGTGTCCTCCCTCTCCCACATGCCCACTGCATGACCCCACATCTTTCTCTTTTTATCACCCATGGATGCTGAGACAGTCTAGTACCACATGAGGGTCCTGCACGGGTACAGCACTGCAGTGAGAGGTACTCTCAGATATTCCAGCCACAAAAGGAGCACCGTCCAGGTGAACACCTTTTTTTCCTTTTTCTGCTGGTTTCCCGAGCTTCTTTTCCAAACGTAACACAGTGCTGTGTTCATATATCAAAAAGGGGTACAATTCCTTTAGGGGCTTCAAATCTCAAACTTCTTTTTCTTCTTCTCCTGCCCTCCTTTCTTCCCAAAAATCAAGATAAAATACATGCACTTGGAAGGCACAGATCACCCTCTTACCACAATGCAGAGAGGAGACATCCATTTTCAGGGAGAAATTTGGAGTTACAGTTTATTCTTTCATTTGCATTTTAATAGAAAAACTTTCCACTCAGTCCCAAGTGAAAAGCTACTATATGCATTTAAATGAAGATTATTTTTTTCCCCCCTCTCTTTAAGAATGATGACACAAATGCTTGAAGCTCTCCTCAGCTCCTCCGAACAAGCAGGTACATCACGCAGTCACCTTATTGAGCTTTAGAGACCATTAATCTGTGGTTATAAAACCACCTGACACACACCACAGCTCCCTCTTTCACACACACACACACACACACACACACACAGCCCTCTCTGTCCCTGTCCCCCCCCTCTGGCTAATCATTTTGAAAAACAGCGGTGAGATTTCCACTTTGCCTTTGTTCAAAACGAAGGTACCGCATGGAGAAAGAGCTGAACATGAAAACCAGACATAGCCCTCTGGAGAAAGGTCCATTGTCGGAGCTGGACACTTCTTGTGTTTAAACTCAGCTGGTTTTGACGTGATAGTTTGGAAACAGTTTTGCCTCAAGAAGTCCCTCATCAATTACTTGAGGCAGGTTAGGAGGATATATATGAAGGAAGAAGCAATTAAGAAAGAAGAAATCATAGAATCATAGAATGGTTAGGGTTGGAAGGAACCTCAAAGATCATCGAGTTCCAACCCCCCTGCCATGGGCAGGGACACCTCCCACTAGAGCAGGTTGCTCAAGGCCCCATCCAGCCTGGCCTTGAACCCCTCCAGGGATGGGGCAGCCACAATTTCCCTGGGCAACCTGTTCCAGTGTCTCACCACCCTCAGATTAAAAAATTTTTTCCTGAGATCTAATCTGAATCTTTTTTCTTCCAATTTAAAACTGTTTCCCCTTGTCCTATCATTACCCTCAGAGTATCAGAGTCCCTCCCCAGCTCTTCTATAGGCACCCTTCAGGTATTGAAAGGCTGCTATAAGGTCTCCCCGGAGCCTTCTCTTCTCCAGGCTGAACAATCCCAGCTCCCTCAGCCTGTCTTCATAGGAGAGGTGCTCCATGCCCTGTTTCTGATACTTTTTTGGGGGGTAATGTTCTCTAACAGCTATTATTGTCAGCCTGTCTTCATAGGAGAGGTGGTCCATGCCCTGTTTCTGATACTTTTTGGGGGGGTAATGTTCTCTAACAGCTATGATTTGGATTAAAAAATGCAGGAAGAGTATGTAGATAAAAAAAGATGGACTTCAGTATGTCCTGCTCCTCCTTTTTAGGGTATCTCTTCATGACAAGATGGCAGCTCCTCTTTAATCCCTTATTGACAGTCACCTACACCACTGCAAATTATTGCTGACCATGGTGGCTGCTGCTGGGAGATGACATCCCACCAGGGACAAAATGGGTTGAGAATGGTCACCTTGGTGCACGTAACCCACACAACGTCATTGCAGCTCACCTGCTTTACAAACCAGGAAGGGACATTTGAGTTAAAGACCCCAACCTCTCGATGGGTAGATAAACTGCCCGTACCCTTTTGAGGGTCCTTGCAGACCAGAACTATCCCAGCAATGCTCCTCAACGAAGCGTTTCCCTGTCTCATGCCAATCTCACAAAAGGGCTAAGCTTTCAAAGTTGTGATAAACCATTAATTATTCACAGTGGCCTTCATAAATATTGCACAGCATGTTTGCAGTAAAACTCAGCCTCCAGACTGTTTACCATCTCCTCGCTGGTGAAAGGTGATGGAAAATACAAGGGGGTCTAGTGGATGTGTAATAGGTTGAAGTGGACAGTGACAATGAGGGAAAGAGGCCAGGAAATCTTCTCTACCTTTCTAGGGGTTTGCCTAATTTCATAGAATCACAGAATGATATGGGGTTGGAAGGGACCTCTGGAGATCATCTAGTCCAACCCCCTGCCAAAGCAGGTCCACCCAGAGCAGGTTGCACAGGAACGTGTCCAGGCGGGTTTTGAATGTCTCCAGAGATAGAGACTCTGCGCCGTCTCTGGGCAACCTGTTCCAGAGCTCTGGCACCTTCACAGTGAAGAAGATCCTCCTCAAGTTTAGATGGAACTTCCTATGTTCCAGTTTGTGCCTGTTGCCTCTTGTGCTATCACTGAGCACCACTGAAAGAAGACTTGTCCCATCCTTCACTTTCCTCCAGTACATCTTCCACAGAGAAGATGCCATCAGAGCTGTGTCTAAACTGACATCACTGCGCATGTCAAGCCCTTGGTTCCCACTTCATTCCTCTCAGATACAAGGGCAGAGCAGACGTGACCCAGACACAGTGCACCTGGGTTTCCTTTCTATGGGTTCACCAGTAGAGATGGAAGGGAGACCTGTTGCAAATGCTCTCCTGAAACAAGGATTTAGGAGCAGACCCAGAAGAGACTCAGTCAGAGCAGCCCACATCACCGTGCAGGTGAGCCACACTATTCTCCTCCAAAGCCAGAATAAAGGCAAACTTGCCTGACTGTCAGAATTGAAAAGTGAAGGGAAATTTTTTTTGGATTGAAAGACCATGGCAATAATCATAGTAAATAAATAAATAACTTTAAAAAAGGAATTATGTTGCTTTAGATATCATAAATTTCATTTCAGCCTGCAACCAAATGCTATGTTTCCCTTTTGGCTTATTGAACCCTGTTATGCAACTTGCAATTTTCACTGAATTTCACTGAATTTTTAGAGTTGGAAGGGACCATAGAGATCATCTAGTCCAACTCCCCTGCTAAAGCAGGACCACCCAGAGCTTGTCAGAGCATGTTACTCAGGACTGCATCCAGGCGGGTCTTGAAAATCTCCAAAGAAGGGGACTCCACAACCTGATCACAGATGAGCTTAAAACAAACTAACAGAATTTTGAATGTAAAACTTCTGGTTAGAAACGTGGAGAAGAACTGTTCTAACATCCCTAAGCTAAGCTTCCTCCTTTTTAAAACACTGAAGTCAAATACTCAGTTGAGTTCAAAATACCATCTCTTCCCATTCTTGCAGGAGAGGGCAAGACTGAAGCTATTGGTTAAAGCTGACCACGTTTTGCTTCAAGCCTTTTGAAAAGCAATTTTCCAGAGGGCTCACTATGCGTCAGAAAGCAATGTTTATCTCCCCTGCGATGCCCTTCCTTAAGTTTTCAAACGTCTTCCTTCCCTTAAAGCTGCCACCCACCCTTGCAGGACGCCGAGGCACGTTGTGATGCCTACAATAACATCTCTACCCTCCTGGCAGGAGTGTCGGAGGAAACCAATCCGTTCCAACAAACACAGCTCCCTCTACGAAAGCAAGGGACACGGGAGAGGGCATCTGATGGGCAGGCTGGAGAGAGTGTGTATTTTTTTTGCTGTCTGGCACGAAGGTATGGAGGTATTCAGTGGAGAAAACCTTGTTGACTTCACGCTTGTGCACGGCTGGGGTAGCTGGCAGCCAGAAAGCCAGCAAGTGGAGGGAAAAGCTGTCACAGACGGACACGCATGATCAAAATCGGACAGTAATTCCAAGAGTAGCAAAGGTGACACGCTGAAGTGTAATGTCCTGGAAAAAGCCCTTCTGTCTGCCTAGTGGGGGTGATCTCTCAAGGTGTTTCTTTGCCCCCACCACCGTAGCACCTGAGTGACATCAGGAAATACAGAGAATAGAGAAATTTCTGTAGCTCGAGGGGGAAATCTAAGATATTTGCTTTCATTACCAGTTCCCTTTACCATAAAAAAAAAAAAGTGCTGGGGCATGTGAATAATTTCAGAAAAGACCCATTCCCTTGCAGGAGTCGAGAGCTTTTGATGGGAACAAAGAGACCCTCTCATCTCAGACCTGCACAGATCTGCACAGATCAAGGCCAGGCAATGCTTGCATGTCCCCAGCAAGGGGCCTTAGAGGAATAAGCAGGTCTCTTGGACAAGGAGCATCAGGAGAAAGGGGGAGAGCAGAGCAAAAAAAAATCAAGCCAAGTGTGCAACATATATTGGGCTCTTGCACAACTCTTCCTTGGCGAAGTGACATTCTCAGGCTGAACTTGCACCTGTAGTAGAGCAGAATCAGGCCCAGAGCCCCTCTGACTGATTTGCAAGCTGATGGCCCAGACAGAGGGTGTAGCAAGACAATTTTCCAGCCCCAGAAGTCTCTCTAAAAAGAGGAGTGTGCTCTCTGAGTGCCACCAGCAGACATTGCTGACTGCAGAAAGCCTGCTAAGGGTGGCCACTCAAGATAGGAATGTCTTTCCTCTTCTTTTTTGGGCCTATCTCACATTTGGGGATGGAGGTGCAGGGAGGTTAGTGGAAGTTGAACATGGGATCCCACCATTCACCATCCCCATGGACTTTTGACTTCATCCCCAAATTACTCATGGAGTTCTCTCTCCAAGCCACGTACCCTTCCCACTGCCAGACACATGATGAGCAGTGGCAGGAGGAAGCTACGTAAAACAAACCAGGGTGCTGGTATTTTTGGCATCCAATCCCATGGAGAGCTGTGCACTCAGAGGAACATCTTGGACTTACACCTGGCCTGCATCTGAGACTTGAGAGAGACCTGGGCTGAGCTGAGAGCAATGACCCAAGAGATGCTGGGTTGTGCCAACCACAGCTCTGAGAGCAGATATTTGCCCATCCATTCAGTGAGATCCCACCCTTACTCATGTGTAGGCATCACCCTTAAAAGCTAACTGAAGTTCAAACTTGCTTGAATCATGGAGCCCAAAACAGTTGCCCACTTTCACTGTGCCGCAGTCATACACTACAGCTCACCCACAGCCTGGCTGGTGAACTGGTCCCTCCTGATCTCCTTCTCCTGGACACCCAGAAGACCACCTAAAGCAAACACCCCTTGAATGCTACATCTTGCAGAAATACCTGCCACTGCTATGGTGACTGCTTGTGCCCCAGTAAATGGGAATTTTTATCCTTGCTAGCAGAATCACGGAATTGTCAGAGTTGGAAGGGACCTCTAGAGATCATCTGGTCCAACTCCCCTGCTAAAGCAGGACTGCCCAGAGCACATCACTTCGGACTGCATCCAGGCGGGTCTTGAAGATCTCCAAAGAAGGGGGCTCCACGACCTCCCTGGGCAGCCTGTGCCAGTGCTCCATCACCCTCACCGTGAAGAAGTTTTTTCTCATATTTGAATGGAACTTCCCATGTTCCAGCTTGAGGAACATAAGACCAAGGACTTTGTAGTGACACAACATCGCAGGGTCTGAGGACATCTCTGGGCTTGCCGTGCTCTGTGCTGGGTGTCCCTCTAATCACAAGTGTCCTATGGCCAACAGCTCGTGTCTGACCTGCTTGAGCTCAGCACTGGGGACACCCCACATGGCCAAGGGCAGACGCCCCGAGCAAGTACTGCCCAACAAACACCAGCCCTTTGTGTGCCCGGGCTGGGCACTGGGGACCAGGGAAAAGGGAGCAAGAGGTGGGGAGATGGAGGATGAAGATGCCCCTAGGAGGACCCAAGAGTGAGGAGGAAGCGACCCCACCATGGACATCACACTCCTCTTGGTGACTTCTCTGTAGGGCCTGGAATGATGCTGGTAGGGTGACCATCACAGCCAGCTAAGGTAAGATATCAGGAAAGTTTTTTTCCCTTTCTCTTTCTTTTTTTTTTCTTTCCTGTATAGCACTTTTAACTATTAATGAGGATTTTCTGCACTAATTTGGACCATGGCTGTATGTAACTGAAACCGGACTAATAATTTGGACTATTATTAGATTGTTAAAACATTAATTAGCCAAGCTATTTTTGCTCATAACGAGATTCTGAAAGGAAAAGGAAAGAACAAATTGGTGCACCCAGGACAGCAGTGAGAAGCTCAGAAGCTGAATACGGTCAAGGACAATGGATAAACGCAGCAAAGCGAAGCAGGGCCCAAGGACCTTCAGGGCCAAGGAGAACTTCTCATGGGACCTTACCATAAAATAGTAGAGCTGTGAAGACCTGGCCATGAATTCTGGTTTGCACTCGGCCACGCAGATTTCCACGAATCCAGCATGCTGGCTGGGCTTGGCCTCCCCCATCTCACATACTATCCTGTGGAGCAAATAGAAACCAGAAGCAAGGTTTGATGGTCTGAGTAAGATGGAATTGGAGCAAACAGCCCACACTGCTGGGAAACAGAATGTAGGTTTAACCCATCCTCTTCTTTCCAATTCAGGATTCAAATTGTGGATCCTTTAAGAGTGTATTCTTTAAAGAGTGGTGGTTTTTGGCTGTTGGCACTCGGTGGGGCAAGTGCTCAACTGTTGTAAATCAATACAATTTCACTTCAATAGGAAGATAAGTGCTGGGCTGAGGTCTGACCCCAGGGGTCCCTCTGTCCTCCAGCCTTGCATGGTGGGCAACTTTGCAGCTGTAAGGTTTAATGATTGCTCCTGCATAGGATAAGCTGCTTCTCAGGACTGCCGTCCCACAAACTGGAATTGGTAGGGTATATGCCATGAGGACTACCTAAATATGCAATACAAATACAGTAATAAATGGATTACTAGTTCCTGAGCTGTAAGTGAGGAATGACATCTTCCATTTCTCACTTCCAGAGTTGGGTGGAACTCCTTAGAAGACCCTACAGATAGCAACGACTGGTATTAAAGTGCTGTGGCCCACTGTCTGCCACACACCCAACTTACTGCTCTGCTGGGATGTACCCTTCCACCAGCGGTTTGCATTCCACTCCAGCCACTTTGACGTGAGATGCGATATCTCTGAACTCCAGCCCCAGATTCTCCCCACGGATGGTCACTTTGGTCCCCCCTTCTCGAGGGCCTGTCACTGGATTGATCTGCAGAAACAAGCCAAGAAAAAGGAGAATAATCAAACTACCTGTGTAAACACATCAGCATCTTCTCAGGTGAGAGAAGAGGCGATATCAAGTCTCTTTGTGACCACTGGAGACACTCATAATTATGAATGCTGAACAGCTGAGGGAACAAGCCTATTCTAGATACATCATTAAGATCATCCCCTTGCAAATATATATCACACATTTCCCAGCTTCAGAGTATCCAAAATTCTGCCCAAGATCTCCTTTACTCCCTTTTGGCTACTTGCAAAGCATCCAGAGATGAGTAGGAGTTGCTCTACTAGTTCCTAGGTAGGAACAGGGGTTTCTGATGGTGCAGCTGAGCTCTGAACTTTATAGACATGAGCCACGGAAAGGCAGGAGTGGGACATGGTGGAAAGAAATAGGAGATAGAACAAGAAAAGAACATGAATGGCTTCAGCCAGCCACTTTAAATCCTAAATTCCCAGCCCAAAACACATGGAGCTTTTGATCTGTTCTGGAGGGAGATATTGGTCAGGCATCACAAACTGAGCTGAAAACGTCCACCTAAAAAAATGCCTAGACACAAAATTGGTCAGGCATCACAAACTGAGCTGAAAATGTCCACCTAAAAAAAACGCTTAGACACAACAGAAACAGCATGTCAGGTTAGGTACGGAGTAGGTGGATGGAAACTGAGACAGCAGCAGCCATTGTTCTGTGCCAACACAAATTTCGAGCTCCAGCTGCCCTCACAGAAGAGCTGGGGCCAAGGGAAGGGCAGACATAGTTATGGGTGGCTTATTTGTGGGTTGGAGAACTCTTGACTGGAAAACCCCCGAGGCCCAGCTTGAGATGAGTGGCTATCCCAACAGCCCTGCTGGCTGCTGGTGTGATGTTTGCAGCCCAGTCTGGACCATCATCAGACCTTAGAAGCGGTAGGATCTTTGTGTCTTGTTCAGCAGTGGCTGTGTTTGGCAACAGAGCTAAAGCACCACATGGATTCCAGAGCTCACCTCTCTCTTCCACTGCAGAGTCTCACCCTGCACCCAGAGTTGTCCATTTGCAATATTTCTGGCCCATGCAATGCAGGAACATTGGGTATGAATGCAGGAAAACACCCTGAATCCCATCCATCACCCTTGTTCACAGCCAGGTGGAAGTTGGCATTGGCGTAGTCTCCTCGATGTTGAAACTTTTGGAGTAGGAATAAAACCTCCATGGTTCTGATTTTGTAGGACTTTGTGGAGTAGGGTAGATGGTTGGACTCGATGATCCCAAGGGTCTCTTCCAACCTAGATGATTCTATGATTCTATGAAACAACCCAGAAATCACAGTGCTGGCCCTAAATTATCTCTGTTCTGCCCTTCCAATTATTCTCCGTGCCCGAACACTGTGCCACACAACCGGCCAGTTGAAAGGGGCTTCAAACGTTGCTTTCAAAGGGTATTCCCTGCTGGCCATTCAGGATGCCATGGATGCCATCTGCCAGTCTTGGCAAGGCTCTCTCCACAGTGAGGATGGGGAAATTCCCTGTCTCAGGTCCGTACCCGCCGGCCGATGGTTCCACTCTGCCAACTGGGAATCTAGGGCTGGCAGCTAGACCCTTGCATAGCATTCAGACTGGCAGGGAAATTCAAGGCACTGGCATAAGCAGAGCTGCTTTTGACTGGTTCCCAGCACCGAGCCTGGCACCAGGGTCAGCCCAATTTCCACCCAGAGGCCAATTTTCAGAAGGTCCATCCTTAATAAATGGAGAGAGATGCTGGCACCTCTAGGGGATGTTTTATTTTAGGATATTTAATTTTAGGTGCCGTGAACCACCTCCTGAATGAGTGTGTCTTCACTCTCACTATACAGGAAATCTAGAAAGATTAATAATTTAATAGCACAGATGATCACTGTGAGGGTGGTGGAGCACTGGAACAGGTTGCCCAGGGAGGTGGTTGAGGCCCCTTCCCTGGAGATATTCAAGGAGAGGCTCGACGAGGCCCTGGGCAACCTGGTCTAGTTGGGGGTGTCCCTGCTGACTGTGGGGAGGTCGGACTAGATGACCTTTGGAGGTCCCTTCCGGCCTGGGCAATTCTATGATTCTATGATTCTATGATCACAGACAAGTCCTTGGACCTTTAGGGTTTTGTAGCGTAGACACAACCTCTGTAGCACAACACCCCTGCAATGGCCTCCTCTCAGGTCCAAATACCGCTTGAGTCAGGAAAATCAGAACCATGGAAGGTTTTATTCCTACTCCAAAAGTCAACAAGATAGTTAAGTCCTAAAAAGAAAATAGCACAACATTTATAAATCTGACAGGTGAAATGATTATTTGGGTTGGCTGGAGATTTGACCTTTGGATGAGACTGACAGACAAGCAGAAAATGGATAAAAAGAGAAAGTAAGAGAGAGGCGTTTGTGGTTATTTTCCAGGAAATGAAGAAACTATCTTTAAAAAATCAGAATGAAAATGGAATTTCTATTCCAGGAGAAAGGAATATAATACCGATTGTCTCAGTTGGGGGCTCAACATTGAAAACTTGAACTATTTTCCAAAAATGGTGATTCCAAAATATTTTCATTCTGAATGATTAATAAACATCTATTCAAGCAAAGTTTTCTGTTTGAAATACTTATTTTGCTGACGTCAGTTAATCCTCACCTGATAAAACACCTTATATGAATGATGCTGGAAGGCTAGAATATATCACCATACCAAACGCAAACTACTCAAAATGAAGACAGAAATACAGGCTAAAATTCCCAGATTTTATTTTATTTCCGTATGTTTTAGACCCACTGTGTCAGTGAACTGCTTTGCCCATGGAATATTTTGGTTCTGTCTTGTGGTATTAAACTTGCCACCAAAAGGTTGTCACTTGTTCTAGTAAGTTAGGTGTCCAGTAAGGCAGGTTTGTGGTTAATTAGGGCTCACCTATGCTTGAAAGAGCTTGTTATCACTGGAAGTACATCTCATAGCAGGTCAAAAGAGGACTTTTTTCCTCGTATGACTAATGTCATTACCCTGCGTAAAAGAAGGTGTAGTGGTGAAAAGGAACATCTTGCTAGAAAAGTCCTTTTCTTTAGATCTAGGGATGAGGTTGAGACAAAAGCTCCACTCAAGAAGCCTCAAAATATCTCAGTGGAAACATTATCATCCTTCTTCCATCTCTGTCTAATGCATGAAATTTTCACATATTCCTGCTATGACTCAAAGAGCATCAAGAGAAAACTTCCCGGAGTGAAGCCAGCACAGCACCTCCCCGTGCCATTTTAATTTGTAGCAGCCAGCTTCAAAACACGCTCATTTCCTTAGAAGTGGAGGGCCTGGGGTTATCCCAGGAGCGTGTGGGAGGGTTTTTAACCCCAACTCGTTGCGCTCCCGTAGACGCACACCAGAAGAAGGTTTCACAGCGACAGAGAAGGAGCCTGTTTCTATCACAATTGCAAAAAATACAGAACAAGACCTGTCAGTTTTGGAGAGGAAAATGCAGGCAGGGAAACAAAAGCTGCCAGGAAGCCTCAGTTTTCTCTGGAAGACCCAGAGCTGTGCCATCCCATCACCATTTACTCCTTCATGCTGCGACTTGTCCCTCTTAAAGGAGGTTTTGTGGCTCAGCGAGTCTCTAAATCCCTTAATTTCACTAAGTGGCAACAGAAATGCAGCTCTAGCAAACACGTACAGGTTGTGGGAAGCTGTGTGCTCCCTGTGAGTGTGTGTACACGTCTGTGCAAGCGTGAGTACATGTGTTGTTTCTCCTCCTTCGCCTCCACAGACGCTGCCCTGGCTCCTGGCCAGATGGTCCCACCAAGCGCTTCCCCACATCCCATTAGCTGCAATGTCTACCCAGTCACTGGAGATTACTTCCACACTAATGGCTCAGAAAAAGGCCTTCCCAGAGCTACTTATGACTGCACCAGGCACTTGGAATATTTCATGAGCGAATATTGCAATGATCTGTTGGAGCTCTGGGAGCTGTTGGAGGAAATGCCAGCAGAAAGGGAAGTGTATCCCTTGTGGAGCTGTAGGGTGGAGAGCGAGTGCTTTGCACTTCGTAAAGAGACTGCAGATGCAGAGCTGGGGTCAAAGCACGGCAGAGAAACGTGGATGGACCTTCAAAACATCATATTACTGCATGGGCAGGTCCTTGTGTTTTGGACTTCTGCTTTAGTTGGTCATCCATCAGCTTCCCGATACCAAATTCTATAAATCTGTGCAAGAATTCTGAATCTTTCCCAATGTTTGAGAATCTGAAAAGACTCAACAAAGGTTTCCCCCAGCTCCCAATAATTTTCAAGGCCTTAAAGCTGAGCTTTCAGATGTAGCTGCTTATTCTGGCTGTTTGGATTTTGTTTCACAGCTTCAGGTGTTTCAGGTGGGCTCAAAAACTACCATCCCCAGATAAATCCAAGTGCCGTGGAAACCTTCTCCTTGGAAACATCAGAATGAGCCTGGAACTCCAGAAGTCCAAATGTATGAGTACTTTGGTGACTGATGAATGTCAGGAAGATGGATCAAAACGCAAGCAGAGGGGTTCTTATCAGTGGTATATCGGAAAACCAGATTCTACCCATCCTTGGCTTTCACGAAACTTTCATGCATGGGCATTGGTTTAGAGCTTGCTTATAACACCCACACTTTTTGATTCTTAACCAAATACAATTGAAAAGCCTTTCTTGCTTTCTAGGAAAATAACCCACTAAATTATTCATATTAAACCACAACCGTGAAGGCTGGATTTTCCTCCTTTGCATTTTCCCCTTATCTTCTCTATCTCGTTTTCCTCTTTACTTATCTCATTTGCAAAATGAGGCCCTGGCCACCCTGGAAGGGCACTCAGGTTGACCAAGGCATGACAATTGAGAAATGCTCAAGGCAGGAGGCAGTTGTTAAGGACAGAGCCCTCATTTTCAAGACTTAGAACCATCCTGTTGCCTGCCCTGTGTCTCTGAAAATGGTGCCCGTCATTATGGCAAAGGCATCCTAAGACAGCAGACAAAAAATCACTTCGGACTGGAGGCTTTATTTCCCTCCCTTGCCTTTTTTTTCCCTTCCTCTGCTCCTTCTCTCTATGGTTTTTCTATTCTCTTCTTTCCCCTTTTCACCTTTGATCCAGCTCTTCCTTTGGCCCAGTCGACACATTCAACAGGAAACCTTCTAAAGGACACCTTTATGCTGCAGGTTCCTTCCCCCCATCCTGGCCCTCATTCTCTCTTTCTCACTTAATGGGAAAGTTCCAAGTTTCCAAGAGTCCAGGCGTAACCCCATCTCCTCCTTGAGCTTTCAAAGGGGAAATCTGACAACTGTACAGGGCTTTCTTTGTTCTATGTGGACTTCTTTCACCACGCAAAGTCAGCCAGGCAAACAGAAGAGTGTTACTTTGTTGGAATCAGTGGAGTCTTGTTTTCTTCTGGACATGGACTTTGTCCATGCCATGCTGCTGGGAAGCATGAACTACAACCTGCACTACTCCTTGACCTCCTGTCAGCAAAGCTCAAAACACTCTGGGCTCACTCAACATCTCCTTCTCAACCATCTCCTTCTCTCTGGTTTTAAGAGACAGTTGCGCTCATTTGAGATGCCCCAGAGCAACTTGTCTCACCTTCAGCTGCTACTAAAGCCTTCATGTCACATCTGCCAGCCCTATGCGAGCAGGTCAGATGCTCTGGGGTTGCTCAGACTGCACTAGCAGGCTGTGTTCATGCAACTGATTCAAGTCTACATTGACTATGGTGGGAACTCTGACACCCTGCTCACCCCTGTGTTGTAGACACCAGAAGTTGTGTGCCTACCTTTGAAGATCACCATGGCCTCCCATCCTCAAGGTTGCCTGGGGCTTTTCCTGACCCAGCAGAACTCAGCCCTGACCTTCCCCTCACCGACCCAAAGCCAAATCAGGAAAATAAAGGAAGGAAAGGGTACGAGAGGGAATGACCCGGCTTCTTGCAGGTCCATGACTTACATCCGTGATCTTGGGGTTGGTGCATTTGCCCTTGGTGCTGGACAACTCCAACCACTGGCTGTCCTGGGCTGGGCAGTGCTGCTTCAACGTGCACTGGTTTTGCCCCTCACACCAGCCACATTCGAAGTCTGGGTCGGCTTTCAGGCAGAGTCCACAGCTGTCCCGCATGGCCCCGCACTTGTACAGGTGAACTGCAGGGAAAGGAAAAGAGAGAGGACCTGAGAGACGCAAACAGCATGGGAGAGTGGTGGGACGTCAGAAGGAAGAACGAGGAGCAAGAGAGGGGAAAGTGTTCTGGGCTCCTAGTCCCAGAGGCAGGATCAGAACTTG